CTTTGAACGTTAAAAGAAAAAAAAGGAGGCGGCTTGTCATATCTCGACAAATAGATCCATTGCTTCATAATAGGAAACAATACGAAACATTAAAAGGTGATACATTATAATAACGGAGTAGCAGTAGTAGTAGAAGAAGAAAAGAAGAGCGCAAGCACCATTCGATCAAAAAGTGAACAGAGTTAATAAAACTCGACCAAACGTGTTCCTTCTTCAAAACAGCAAAAAGGCCGACGCCCTGGTGTATAGGGTATGTGCTCCGTAGTGACAGTAAGAATAATAATGATAATATATGAAATAGAAAAGTAAGAAAAGGAAACCATAAAAAAGCATAACAAAACCGGCCGAGAAAAGCAAAGAAAAGCGTGTATGACAAGAGAATCAAATATCCGACTTTTAAAAATTGGAAATAAAAGGGGAAAGAAGAAAGAAAGGAAAATATTTGAAAAGGAAGAGAGGCATAAACAACCGAGCAAACCAGCCACCCAGGAAAAACGAAGATTCGTCCGTTTTCATTTTACCAATCTTCAATTCGTGGTTTTTATTTTGGTTTTTCAAAAACTCCTTTTTCCCTTTTGTATCGTGATTCACGTTATGTGCGTGGCCTCTGGACCTATCGGGGGTGGCCAACGCAAGTAAGCGTCCAGGCTCAATAGCAAATTGCCTCCATGAGGAGTTCCAACTCAAACTCAGGAGCAGAGCGATGTAAAAAAAATAATAATAATAAACAAAGGCAAAAAAAATAAGAAACAAGCACGTCCGTGAACGCCAGAAGATATCTCACGAAAAACAACCGAGGTACTTGAAAAAGCACAACCAAAGCCATTTGCACCTCGAAAGTGAGAAAGAGAAGGTCCCGAAATCAACCAGGAAAAAAAAGCGAAAACGAATATATAGAAATAAACTAAAAAAAAAAAAAAAAAAAAAAAAAAAAAAAAAAAATAGAGAGAAAAGAAACGCCACAGCAGACGTTAGGGAACAGGTAGATTGAGAGCTTCCTTAAAAGATTAACTTGACTTCGATTCCAGAGGACGTCGAAGTTGTGGACGAGTCACCATCCGTGCTAGCATCCAATGAGCAATCGCGGACCTCAGAGATCTCAGCGGCCATGTCTTGTCCTTCTGGGAGCTCATTGACGATATCATCATCCAAAATGACATGGAGCCCATTTCCACGAAGGCAGAGCGCCCGAACAACACGCGATGCATCTATCTTGCATTTTTTGGAGATGACATGAACAAGGTCCTTAGCTGTGCGCTGTGAGAGATACACGGCATGATAGTAACCATCCGGGACTTGGTTGCCACAAGGTTGTCGTATTTGTACGTAAAAGCAGGAAGCTGCGAGTAAAAATGTTAGACCAGTCATGGGCGTGGACGATAGGGTGGCTCAACGGGGAGGAAAGATGGGAGGATACGTACTGGGCTTCTTTGGGACGACTAACGGCGGCTGGTAGGTGGCATCGACATCCATCGCTTCGATCCAGCCATCATTACCAGAGCGACCATCAGCCGAAACCTTTTGGACCTTCACTGGGTGGCTCAAGTACCGACCATGGTTACTAATATGTTGCTGGCTATCGGAATCCTGTTGTGAAACGCTAGACCAATCCATCGAGTCGTGGCGGGAGCCGTCATAGACCTGTTGCTGATGAGGAAATCCTGTCTTGGGGTCAAAAGAGTTATGAGAAGAGCTGAGCGAATGGTTGCTAGTTGCGGGAGACAAGACATGCTGGGATGTTATTGAGGATGCGTCCGCGTTATTTCGGGACTCCCAGCCTATCGCTGGCGGGAACGTTTCGTCGCTAATTCCGAGGTGGACTGGGAATAGGTCTGGATCATCATTGGGGTCTCCCTTCAAGTTGAGAGCGCTGAAAGGGCGAGTGGATGAAAACATGTCCTTTAAAGTACAGAGCTTGATCTGGAGGTCGTCTTCCAGACTTGATTTGCCTCCTGACTCATTATTTGAATCACCCGACCACCCTCTCTTATGCCTCGCAAGCTTTCCCTTGACGAAAGAGCCGCTTCTTTTTCTCCTATCGTAGCCAGGCCCAAGCTCAGCATGGCTGATCTGTTGTTTCAACTTATCGATAAGTTTTTTCACATGTGCGACATCATTTGAGAGCTTTCGCTCCGCACCATGGTCTCGAAACAGCTTAACTTTGCAGTAGCACACCTCGGGCCGGTCTTCAAGAGGTGGATCGCCATGACCCATAGATATAACCTCTGTTTTGGCGCATAGACGGACTGGAATTCCCTTGACACCCTTGGAATGGCTGAAATCAGTGGACAGGAAATTGAAACGAACTGATATCGAGCAGCATGGGTTCCCGGTTGCAGGGTTCGGGGACCAAATAACAGAGAAACCGTCAAAATTAGATGTTTCCAGATGAACCTGGGAAGGCCTGATGTCTCCATCTCCGCCTTGGTTAGGGTCAACGTGTTCAACAGCTAATAGCTTTCCGTCACGGTGATGAGCTTCGTTGGACCCACGGCCTTCCTTCCAGAGCTGCCAGCAACTGGCTGGCTTTGAGCGTTGTTCATCATCCTCAAAAGAAATGCGAATATAAGTGCGATATTTTAAAGGTTGCGCGCCTGACGTCATTGGAGCAGTATCCAGAACAGACATTGTGTATGCTTGGCCTTTGTTGAGATACGTAATGGGGATCTCATCGGGGTCTTTGACCATCGCTGTTGCTGCCTTGAGCGTTACATTGAATCGGAAACTGAAAGCAGAAATGTCAGCTCGAGTCTTTCTAAAGTATAATCCGCAAATGGAAACCCATTAATAAGGAGGAACTCACTTCTCGCCCCCGGGAGTCGGATGACTGTCAACAGGCGTTGACAAACCGATACCGTGAGGGATCAATCCAATGTGGTTAGTCGTATTCACCCCATTAATAGGCGAATTCTCAACATGCAGCGGGTCGTATCTTGCATCTCGATTTACGAAACCGCCCGGAGTATAGGGAGGCGGATGATGGAAAGAGTCGACGCCATTTGCTGGGTGAGAAGGAAATGAATGAAATGAATTCATGTCGATTGCAGACTGCATCGCAGCGGCATCGGTAGCTGAAGTTGCGGGAGGGATTGAAAGCGGACTAAGTAAATTCAGTGCCATCCCAGGAGTAGATAAGTCAGGTACTTGGGAATGGCAGGAAATGCCCATGCCGGTCGGTGTTGCGGTATAGTAAGTGGAGGGCTGATTTGCAAGCGACGTGAACGCGTAAGAGTTGGGGTCCATTAAGGAAGGGGTAAATCTCCAATGATCCGGCAGGCCTTTTGGTGTTTGTTCTGTGGCTTTGTTTTCTTCAGAGTCCATCGTTGGTCTATTACATTTCGTTCTCAATAATACATGTAAGCAACTCCTGAATGTTACCATCTAGGGAAAGTACGATTATGATCCTTTTTACTTCTCATTTCACTGGTGGACAAACAAGAAATAGAACTCACCTTTGTGGGGTAGCCTGTTTCATGGGCGCATCAGCTAAAATCTTGCCCGGAATGTTTTGGGCTGTTGTCGAGCCAACTCCAGGGCAAATCTCGGGAAATTTTTGTTTAAAATTAGAATAGAGCTCCTCCCCCGGTTTCTGTGAACTTTTCCTGTATACCGCAGAAGAGCTTAAGCTAAGAGGACCATTCAATTGCGCCTGGAGTATAAAACCGTACTGTAATCGACTAGCAGTATCTATTCCACGTACCGGTTGCGAAACATTAGGAGAGACGGATAGAAGCGAACGACCCTGGTGGTGAAACAGAAAAAAAAAAAAAAAAAGGAAGAAAGGCGACGGGCGCAACGGCAACGCCGGTAATCAATTACTGCGCACGGGTATCCAGGAAAAAATCCAGCACATGTGGGGGAAAGTTTATTGTAGCTCCAAAGACTCCGTTCTGGTAAGGTGAAAGCTGTGCAATTCGGATCGCAATGTGTCGACGAGATAGTGAAAGCTATACTATAGAAGGGAGATGAGGGGAAAGAGCGTACACAGAGCCAGGACGGAGCTTATCAGGAGGCCTGTTTAGAAGGGAAAAGGAAGAAGGAAGGACAACGATGGGGGCAAGGGAAAGGAGTTCTTTCTTAAATCTGAGTTCCAGCGGCGAGGAGATGCAAATATATGGCATGGGGATCAGAGGGGGCGATGTCGTCAGACGCCGGGAGCTGGGTGATACCAGAAAGGTTAACTAGGGCTGCAATCTAAAATTAGTTTTTGCTAGTGGGCAAAGTGGTGACGACTATCTGAATAATAGCCTCTGGTATCGCGCACTAGCTCACACACAGACCGGCGAGAGTTGAGATGGGACACTCCGAGTCAAGCATCCTCTGGAACCGTGAGAAGATTCTGATTGGGTGGGCATTTTGAATTTGCGGGAGTCTTGCAGTTCTCCACGGTACAGGATCAGGGGTGGTGTGATGTGGGAGGATCGCTTTGGAGCTGTTCGCTGAGGGTACATGATGAATACTTCGGACCCAGCCCATGCAGTCGATGTCGAGGTATCCCATGTATCATCATCATAGAAGTGGGTTAGGGATGGAGCAGGGCCAGGTTCCACGCCAGGCCGATGTAGACGCCGTCAGATGGTGGGGTGTAAAACCAGCCAGGCCGTCGCAGGAGGGCTTGGCGCAAGCCTCAAGTCGCAGCTAGTAAGGGTCGATGTCTCCAACCTGGCCCCTGGCTGAGCGCACTCGTTAGGTCATAGAGATCATGGACTTTTGGGTTATGACGGACGGAGCGCTGAAAGAGACAATACCGGACGATAGCAATGACGAAAACATTGAAACCGACACCCCGATGATTTCTTCATTGGCCTCGGAACTCACCACAACAACTTCTTAGAATTCTCTCCTCCCCACACACTTCCGCCCCCCAGCACTGTCCTCATCTTATCGTCCCCTTGTACTCCGTACTTGCCAGAGGGCCACCATAACAACGTATTGTCGCGGATTGTTAACGCGGCCCCAGCGACTTCGGCGATTAGGGCCCTCCTCTCTCCTTGGGAGCTTCGTTTCCTTCCCTACTCTGGCAAACGTTGCGTTGTCCTATCCACTCATCCTTTCTGTAGGTAACCCGTCGCCCCCCCTTTTCCCCCAGGCTGTTGTTGGCCATGAGAGGCTTAGAGCGTTCCGATCCACAGTTATCGATCTAATCTTCGTTCCAGTGGAGTTAGGACGGTTGAGGTTCTCTCTCCGTCTTTCGCCATCAAGCAATTTCCGAGGTCGTGCGGGGAGCGCCACACGTTGGCCTGCGCCACATATATGATGTCATGTAACTACTGTTTCGCGCTCGGCTATTGGCTACTAGTCATACCTTCCCCACCTCTGCAGGCGGAGCCGCGCTATCAACCGCAGACGGCAGATTATTAGAGATGCAGCAAGTCGCTGTGGGTCACCGAGTATTTTTTTTTTTTTTTGACTCGAAATGACGACTTGGTGGATCATATTTCAGAAAAATATATATATATAAACTAAAAAGGGTTGGAGAGTGAGTAATTCTTCAAGCCCATGTTTCGAGTTCCCGTGGATGGAGCTCTCGTTTGACTCATATAACTGCTTACTAAGTAGGTTTTATTAACCTAGGCCACTAGGGCAAAAGAGCTCGATCACACCAGCGCCGTAGTGATAGAGGGTACGAATCACCCAATCCAATCCCCAACAGGTTTCTACTCTAAATAAAATAGTCAAACGGATCAGATATAGCTTTACAGATCTGTACAGATTCTGACGGTATTTTCCCGCTCGATTCCAGCTCCATTTCGCCTCTTCGGACTCCTGAATATTTATCTACTTCAAAATAAATATAAAGATCCAGATGGCAGAACAACACATCGAGAACATCTAGGCTTGCTCTGGAACAAAAGGACGGGGAAAAACAAAATAACCAAAGAAATCTACTCCACTCGCGACGTTTTTCTCGTCAACCAAAAAAAAAAAAAAAAAAAAATGAATGAATGAACGAAAAACAGAAAAGAGATCAATCAGAATTCAAAGTGAAATCGCCCTATTAGCGCGAGGTATGTGGCTGTCCACTTTTTCCTCCTCCTTCACAGTGATAACCAGTACCTACTATGATAGGCTAGCTAACTAACCCTTCTAAACAATGAATTGAGGGCTGGAGGCACAGGCACAGGCACAATCAAGAGAAGGCATGATGTGTGCAGAGCAGGTCCATGAGCGTCTCTTGAGCGGCGCTAGTATCGAATAGCGCGACTCGACCTTCCTCTTTTTTCCACCGTTCATCCCAGCGGTTCTGGCCCCAGAGTGCGCAAGGCGGCCAATGCTCAACCCATACACAAAACACAAAGTACCGTAAAGTACTCTCTGTACATGACCATGTGCATGTACAGTACATGTATATGATATTTTCGCAGATTCTCTGGCATATAACAACTGTGTTACTCTATGTACTCCGTACGGTAACGCACATAGATGGGATAACAGGGAAGGCTGGGGAAGTGGGAGGAAATCAAGAAGAGGGTTGAGTACACGGGCCTTCTCCTGCCACCCTTTCCGATCTCCATGCCAGTCTACACTGACTATACAGTGTATGTACCGTACAATACCTGCGGTATTCTCCGCAGGATCTGCGACTTCTGGATCGCTGGCCCATCTCCCGGTGTCTCTCTAATGTAGATTCTAGATCGGTGGGAAGAAGAACCAGCACCGGGAGTCCAGGGCAAGGCAGGGGGCTTGTCCCTGGGCACTGGGCACTGGGCATTGCCAACTCTGCCTAGATCATCACAACAAAAAAAAAAAAGAAAAGAAAAGAAAAGAAAAAATGCTGCCGCAAAGGAAAAACAAATAAAAATACAGTGCTTTCATCTTCATGGGAAAAAAATGTGCGACGTTACCCAGGTGTGTAGCGCGAATCGCAAGGCCTGAAGTATCCAATATCAATTAAGCTCAAGACACCCACTTCAGCCGTTGTTGTTTCGGTGATACTGCTTGAAATGGGAGCTGGAGAAGCACGCCCACCTTTCGACCAATAACAATTTTTTCTGGGCGAAATAGCGGAATAATTTCCGGGGCATACAACAGCAGCGCAAGTACAGAGTACCCGCCCCTTACATCTCCTCTATGATATGTGTAGATGTTGGTAGTGAACATGCCCTCCACACACCAGCGCGCAGGATCTCGTTTGCCTGATATGTGCTTCGAGTATGTAACTGGTTATTCAGCGAAACCATTAGCTAAATATATTGAACTTCATAAAACTTTGTGACCAGGGTAGCCCGTCCACCGAGCGAAGAAAGAAGGAATCTTCTGAAACGTAGCATTAACTGCCTACACTACCAACATAGATGCTCAACGAGGTAAGTCAAGGATGGGGTGCTAAGATGCGCGATCAAGTATCTCATCACATCTGCATCCACCGGGCCAAAAGTAAACACTGCCTGCAGTTCAATTGCAAGCCTGACGGGGCCTGGTCCCACAGCTCAAACGAAATCACATGTAGGTGGGCCGCCACAGGTCATTGCAAGGATGATATGGAAGGAATCTGCGGGTAAATTAGCCCAGTGGTTCAATGCTGTCCCAATATAATAATCACCATTGCGTCGCCCTTTCTTGTGTGTCATTAATCAACAACTGACAGAAAAGTTTCCACTGCAAGTTGCCGCGTGTGTTATTCACATGCCTGCGCTGCCCGTTCCTCCCTGGCTAGCTGACAATATCGAGTTCCCCACCCCGTATATCACTTCTAGCAAAAGACAAAAAAAATATCACAAAATAATAATAGTGATAATAATCATAATCATAATAGTAATAATAAATCATAATAGTAATAGTAATAGTAATAGTAATAATGGGTGCGACCCACATCGCTGCCAGCCGGCGGACTAAAAAATCCAATCACAACGAACAGAAGTGCTGAGGCCGTCAATTGTCGCATCCTTTGGCAGTCAGCTCTCGGCTTCTCGGGGAGGGCCTGGGCAATTAGTGCGTCGTTTCGGAGGCACGCCTCTCCTCCTCATAAGTCCTGAGTCCACACGCCGGGCTCCTCAGAGCCTATGACATCAACCATCCGCTTATCCTGGGAGGAGCTGGCCATCTTGGGGGAGGGGGGAAAGGCGGGGTGGGTGAGGTTCTGGCGCGGAGCCCATTATTTTGGCGATCTCCAAACCTTCATTCCGAGTCGTCGCCTTACCTCGAGTCTTTCTGACGCGGCATCATGGGTAGCTGTGCGGAAAATCGTTTCCCCCCTCTCTCCTTCCCCTCCCCCCCCCCCCA